CAGTAAGAAGCTCCTGAGCCAAACAGCCTCCTTTGTTGCTTCTGAAGCAGCAACATATTCGACTTCCATGGTAGAATCTGCGATGCATTTTTGCTTCACACTCCTCCATGAGATCGCTCCGCCTCCCATCATAAACACATAACCCGAGGTCGACTTTTTCTTATCTCGATCAGCTTGGAAATCAGAATCTGTGTAAGCCATAGGAGTTAGACAGTCTGATTGGTAAACAAGCATATAATCTCGAGTTCTTTTCAGATACTTGAGAATATGCTTTACCGCAGTCCACTGTCCTTGACCAGGGTTAGACTGATATCTCGCAGCCATGCCAACCGCATAGCAAATATCAGGTCTCGTGCACAGCATGGCATACATAAGGCTTCCTACAGTCGAAGCATAAGGAACCTTAGCCATTTCCTCTATCTCCTTTTGTGTCTTCGGACACATAACCTTAGATAGAGGAACTCCATGCCGAAAAGGCAGCAACCCTTTCTTAGAGTTCTGCATGCTGAAATGAGCAATCACAGTATCAATGTAAGCAGCTTGAGATAGTCACAACATTCTTTTCTTCCTGTCAAGAATGACCTTGATTCCAAGAATGTACGATGCCTCACCCAAGTCCTTCATTTGAAACTGTTCTGAAAGCCATACCTTTACGTCTGACAAAATCTTGACATCGTTGCCGATGAGAAGAATATCATCTACGTATAGTACTAAGAATACCACTACGTTTCTGTTGCTCTTTTTGTACACACAACTTTCGTCTTGACATTGATCAAATCCGTAGGACTTGATCACCTCGTCAAAGCGAATGTTCTAAGACCTAGAAGCTTGTTTTAGTCCATAAAGAGACTTCTTTAGCTTCCATACTCGATGCTCTTGGCCTTTCTTCACATAACCCTCGGGTTGCTGCATATAGATGTCTTCATCCAAGTTTCCGTTAAGGAAAGCTGTCTTGACATCCATTTGCCAAACCTCATAGTCCATGTGACTTGCTATGGATAAGAGAATCCGAATCGACTTAAGCATGGCTACCGGTGAGAAGGTCTCATCATAATCGATTCCCTCTTTCTGAGTGAAACCCTTCGCAACCAGCCGTGCTTTGAAGAGAATAACCTTCCCGTCAGATCCTCTCTTACGCCTATAGACCCATTTGCACCCAATGTCTTTCTTGCCTTCAGGAAGGTCCCTAAGGTCATAGACATCCATAGCATCTATAGATTCAATCTCAGAATCCATAGATTTCTGCCAAGATTCTGCATCTACGTCTTCGATTGCCTCATTGTAGGTCCAGGGGTCACTATAATGCTCGTCACTTGGGATGAAGTCTGAGGACTCTCCCACAAACATGAAACGATCGGGCTGACGAACAACCCTCCCACTATGACGAGGCAATTCAGGTGTAAATACATAAGAGTCAACACGTTGTGCAGTCTCTTGTGGTATATCCTCTTGCATACTCGGTATGCCATTGTCTGCCCTCAACTCGTTGAGAATAATCTCACTCATATAGTCATCCTCTAAAAATCGGGCATTGGTGCTAACAACTACCCTCTGATCTTTAGGTCTATAAAAGTAACCACCTCTCGTTCCCTTTGGGTAACCTACAAACAACCGTACTTC